AAACTAGAAAACTATAAATTATAAATATATTACATATTATTAAATATATATTAAATTTATTTAAAAATTAAATACAGTATCTGAGATCTAAAATACAAAGAACCTAACCCTGGAGCATCGCCCGGGGCTAAGAGCTAGTTTCTTTTTATATAACTTCTTTGTACTCACTTCCCAATGATATCTTCTATCTTGCACTATTAAAAACTATAAAAATTCTGTTGTATATCTTTTTTCTATATAAACAAAACATAATTTTCAATAATAATCTAATATAAAATTGTCTAATTTGCAGATAATGATAAGGATAAAGTGAAAAAACAGTTACATTAAACCTTTAGATATAAAATGATACTAATATCAATATTATATTTTCTATATTAGGCTTTAGTAATTAGATCGCTAAAAGGTTTTCCTATTAGATTATATAATTCAAATCTATATAAACAAACTAATTTATATTAATTAATAAATAATATAAATAAAGAAAAATAAAAAACAAATAAATTTAAAAGTAATGTAATATAATATGAGTGTGCAAGAGTAAAAATCTATGAACTGATCATAATAAATCATTAAATATGTTTCTAGGTTTTCACTTTTATATACTCATATAATAAAGTAATACTAATACTAATTATAATTAATATAAATCGATGCAAATCGATGCAAATCGATGCAAATCGATGCAGATCAATACAGATCGATCAATTTTAAGTTTTTGTATAAAATTACATAAAATTTAAAATATTCAAATAAATTATTAAAATAATATAGTTTAATGTTTAAACTAATATTATTTATATATTTATACTTTATCTAATGAATTAATAAAAATTTTTTAACTAAAAATTAGATTTTCTCCTTTTTTATTGAATAGCACCCATATAACTTTTCTATATTACCTATTTAAGAAATCTGTATAGAGGTTTTTCACCAATTGCTATATCTAATATCTCTGCTTAGATGTTCTATTTAAATTCTTTAATCTGATCTTAATATTAATTTTACTAGATTATAGACTCGGATCTTTTTGCTTTTAACTATAAGACTATAATTCTTAAACTATTTTTATTCTTGAAATAAACTTATCAAAATAAACCATATTCTCTTTTTATTACTAATCTGATTTGATGCTATGATTAAAATTAATACTTGTAATCAGAGTTATTCATTATATTGCTATTACCCTTATAAAATTTATTCAAATCTTGATACTCATCTTTCTTAACATCTTCTTCATTATCTGTTACTAACTGCTATTCAAAACCAATAGAACTCCTCAGACTACTAATCCAGATGACCCAATAGATATATTTATATATTCTTTTCTTTTGATGATTTTAACAGTCTAGTTGATGTATATGCTTCTCTTACATACCTGTCATCTGATTTATCTGACAATTTCTTTGAAGATGTTTCATGAATTTTTATTAGATCAACAGCATTATCAAAAGTTTGTGTTACATCTTTACTTAGAATTTTCAAGTAGGCTTTTATCTTCTTGGTTTCTTAGTTTTCTATGCCTAATAATCTTATCATGAGTTTGCATCAAAACCTTATATAATACTAATTTTTCATATTCCTTTATATACATGTAATATTACACTTCAATAATCTCAAGCTTCTCAGACAATTCTGGTATATAAACTAAATTTACAATTAAATTAATTAAATTGCAAAAACTGATCATTAAACCTGAACAATTGATTTACATCAGCCAATCAGGCAAACTTCTTCCTTTGTCAAAAAATGTAATTGCTCTTTACAAAAAATTAGATCAAAAAAATAATCTTGTTATTTTGCAAATATATTATGCATAGTTATAAGAACATATATCGTTTGTTTAAAATAAAGATTAATAATAAAAATTTTGAGATGTTAGTTTGGTGAACGAAGCATAGGCCAAGTTTGTTTTAATTGGTTGTTTATTTCTATTGCAAAAATATTGTTATTATATTGTTTATAATAGAATTTCTCGACCTAAAATATAAAAATATTATTTTTCTGATTAAAATAATTTAAAATTTTAGAAGGTTACATTTTAAACCAGAACTTTCATATTAGCGCTTGTCATCCAGTCGGATCCAATTGCTTCACTAACTTACCTTAGAAGCGATTCTGTTAATATACCTATAATACATGTACGCTTCTAAGGTAAGTTAGCGAAGTGATTGGATCCGACTGGATGACAAGCAATAATATGAAAGTTCTGGTTGTAAAATGTAACCCTCTGAAATTTTTATATTTTAGGTCAAGAAATTCTATTATAAACAATATAAAAAACTCGTGTAACAGTATTTTTACAATAGAAATAAAAACAATATAGAAATACATAATCGTAAAATCTAATTGGTAGATTAGGTCACGTTACGATCTATTTAAATACGCGTTAAATTGTTTTATCAACAGAAATGCTGAAATGTCAAAGCAACTTGAACTAAAAGAATTCGAAGGATTCGAAGAACACTTGGATCCCAATAACTTAAGCTTGATTTCAATACTCCGATTTCGACGTTCTAAAAGTGATTTTACTTATAGTAAACTTCATGAACATGCATTAATTTCAAAATTTTTAGCATGTATTTCAGAAATACCTGAGTGGTCTGAGGCTGCACTTTCTCTCAAAAAGAATGGAGTATTGGTAGTAATTATATTTCTTGCTTAAAATACATTGAATGTCAATAGGTGATAGGGAAAAAGTTGGACTTCATTGTCGAAACAACTACCAAGCTACCCAACCTCGCTTGTGGTAGTTATGGATGCTTTCCGGTAGGCTTCATCCTAAGTCTGCATGAAGGTCTGGAACCTTGCTTTCGGTACCAAGAACGTGTTTCGTTTGCAGCCACCTGATATTCTGGGTTAGAATTGATTATTTTTTCAATGCAGTTACTAAACTATTTTTACTGCTATTTTCTGTCAAGCAACAAACACAAAATGAAGAAGTTATAATATTTTGGTTTGAAGTAGATAATGAGATAGCAGACCTCAAGATTAAGCGATCGGAGGTGTGTTCAATAGTTAATTAATTACATCAAGTATAATATTAAAATATAAATATTTTTTAACATGGCTTTTTGCTTATGATTTACAGAATCAATTCGTTATTGATAGATCGGATTCCAATAATCAAGCACATAACCTAATTGAGGAACGAAAGTTGGCGTTGATTTCAAAATTAGGGTCAGATCATAGCTTTAAAAATAATGAAAATGTTAGTACAATTGTAATACAGTTAATATTTGCAAAGATCCACAAGCGTTATCGATCTAGCATTTCAGAATTATTTTAAATGGCGAAGCCCGTCAATTTATTGCAAATTATCCAGATCACTATATCAAGATCACAGGGTATTTTTATTATAGAGTTCCAATCCGGATAAATGGATAAACAGATAATGGATTGGAACTCTATTTTATTACAAATACCGTATAGCGATAGCGCTCTATATAGTACCCCTGGAATAGTATTCCCTTTTTTTTGACAAGCGATTTGTGGTCCAATTTTCATAATTAATAGTGCGATCTTTGATGTGTCTAATGTAGATCAGTAACGATTACCGGTATTTCCCATCTCCCAATATTTGGGGGTACTATTCAATTTAGGCCGGGTTTCTTGAATTGCACCCAGGGTACTATATAGAGCGCTATACCGTAGTAAAAAGAATTCATGTTTTGAACGCTTGTCAATTTTCCGAAAGGTTTTATTATACTGTGCTTTAAAAGTTTCCTATTCTGTGTGTCGCTTATTCTAATCCTGATCCATGTATCTTTGCCGGATTGACTGGGTCACATCACTAGATTCTACAGATTTGCATACTATACGAACTACATAAAGTCACTAAAAATTCGGATTTTTATTTTTACAGATAATCAATATTTTGAATTTATTTTTATTGCTATTCGCACTATGGTGACTAACTTTATAAAAACCCGCTTACCCTAACTCTACATACTATGGTACGAATAGTAAAAATCCATGGTGCGAATAGCAAAAATCCATGGTGCGAATAGCGGTCTCCTAAAAAAATAACCAAAACCTCGCTCCACCATATACAGAAATTTCGTCATTAACTACTTTGATTTGATGATCATAATTTCACGTGAAAAACCAGGTAAGTTTAACTAGTTCGGTCACGATTTGGTTTTAGACCCGGTTAAACTAGTTTCAATCGAACCATCCCTAGTATATTGAGCTACCCCAGTAAGACCATGAAAGATCGACACAGATGATGATCTACACTAATCAAAACAAACTAATAAAACCTTACGTTAGGGTTAGGGTTATGACCGAAGTAGGGCTTATTTTACATCTAAAATTTTTATTTTGCAAGGAATTTTTTTTGTTAGTGCGCAGAAGGTGGTTTCATAGAGGTCGATTATTTGAAAAGATTTGATTGGTGCATCTGCGTCGATCTTCCATGGTCCTATTGGGTAGTTAATATAAATTGTAATCTAAAACTATAGTTTTAGAGTACAATTTATATTAAATATTAGTTTTTGGATAACTTAACTACTACTAAGGTAGCTAATATATTAACATTTGTTTGATAAGTGAAATTTTTTGAATGTGTTTTTTTTCATCTTGTTAGATATTTAGTGCTAAGTTAAATAGCAAATATTAGTTAACTGAGATGTTATACAGATCAGGTAATAAAGTTTTTACTATAAAATTTGAGTGATTGACACTCATATGAAATTTGCAATTTTCATAGTAAATTACAATGATAGGTTATTTTAAATTATTGTTTTTAGATGTTTCTTAAAAGGTAATTGTATTTTGAACAATGTGAAATAATTTGATAACAAAAACAGTTTATTATTCTTATGTTTTAAAAGTATAAAAAATAATAAACTTGAAAAGAATCATGCTTTCAAAGATATCTTTCTGTTTTATAGTTTATAGTACTAAATAATAGTCAAATCTACTATAAAGAATAAGATTATCAGTAAACTTCAATGTTAAGTTTTAAAATTATATAATATTAGCAAAACTATTAACAACTTGTTTTACAGTTTTTAAATTATAATTAAGAAAAAAAAAAAGCATTAACCAAGACATTTTGTAAGAACATTATTTTGATTTTTCTTAAAAAAACTTGGATCAAAAAAATGAAAATTATTAGTCGATATATTTTGTAAAATATCACATTAACTTTTCTGGATCTTAGTTATAGTAATAAGTTCAGATTAGAAAAATGTAAAGTATTAGCTAATACACTTTGCAAGAAAATTATATTAACTTTTTCAGAATAATAAACTCAGATCAGAACAAAAAGTATTAATTAATACAGATTACAAGAACACTATATTAGATTTTCTGGAATAATGAATTTGGATCAGAAAAAAAGTATATTTTATAAAACACTACATTGATTTCAGTTAAAATTTGGATCAGGAGAATGAAAAACATTAATTTATGCATTTTGCTAAAGCATCACATTGATTTTTCTAGATTTTTTTTTTTATATCCGTAAAGTTTATAATAATTTTGAATAGCAGCAAAATAGCATATTGAGTATTATTAGAATTATGTTATTCTTCGATATTTTATTATTTCAGTTGTAATTAATATAATTAAATAAATAATATTTATTAAATTATTTATTAAAATTATAATTATAAGTATTAAATTTATTAAAAATTTGTTAATTGCTAAATAAAATATCTAATTTTACAACATAATCATTAGTTATAAATATAGTAAAACTTTCATAATACACTTTTTATAAGTATACATTCTCTTTAAATGCATATTTAAATTCAGACTCAAGTCTATACATGGTCTTTATAAATATACTTATTCTTATTATTTTCAAAGTATAGTTTGGTTTTGAGAATATGATTTTACTGTAATCGATTTTCTGAATCTGTATCTCAAAAATTGCATATTAATATTTCAAACAAAGCACTTAAGCAGTTTAATTTTGGTGCTATTTAAAAGGATTTGGTTTTGGTAGGATTTTTAAGTTTCATTAAAAATTATTCAAATTTTAAAGATCTTAAATTTCGAAAGTTTCAATTTCAAATTAGAAAAAATAGAATTATAGAATTAAAAAAAGCTTTAAATTAAGATTTACTATAACAGACTGATTATTTTATCTAAACTATTACAATAAATATGAAAAAAATATAAATAACAATTCATTTAACTTTTCAAACTACAGAATTATTATGAACATAAATTACTAATATTAAAATATATAATTTAAAAGAAAATAAATTCAGATACTTAAAAAAAAAATAGAATCTGTTTCATTCAATTTTAAAAAAGAAATTTAATCTGATTTTAGTAAAGATTTCAATATTGGCATCGAACAAATAATGGTGGATGATGATGTTTTCATATTTGATTGACATTCATATGAAAAACTAAAGGAAATAACTAAATCTGTTAAGGAAATAAATAATAAATTAATCAAAAGTACTGAATTATTTGAGAGCAATGATGAGATAGAAATATTTGAGAAAGAACTTAATATGTTACTTCTGTCTGATATAGAACATTTTACAAAATTTACAAATTGTTATTATTAATAATAAAATTAACAATGAATCAATTATAATTCGAAGATGCAATAATATAGAAGTTTAAAGCATAAATTAACTATTAGAAATAAAAAAGATTGACTTTCAAACTATAAATCATATTAGTAAAAAAGTCTCAAGATTAGATATTTGTTTGCAGCATTACAACTATAATCTAAAATATTTGCATTTAAGTATAAAAGATAAATAGTCAATGATAAAAAATATGATTATATTATGTTACTGTCTTTTTTTTAATAAAATAAAATATTTTTTAATAAAAGAAAGTACATGTTCTTTACATACTTGAACTGTTTGTAAACATATAATTTAAGTCTTATATCATAGATTATATAACTGTTTAGCAATTACTGAATATAAAAAACTATTGACTCAACTATTAAATAGTAATAAATCTTGATTTATTTGCACAAACTGTTTCATAACAAATAGAGATCATTTGTATATATGGTCAGGAATTAAAAAAAAACAGTCACCTGTAAAGAGCAAAGAGAATATAATGAAAATACTATACTTATTTTAAAGTTATTTACCAAATAGATTGAATAGGTTGCTAAATTAAATAATGCTATGATAAAGGTTAAGTTATTAAAAAAGCTTATCAAATTGCTTGAAAATATTTTCATAGATAATCTTGAAAATACTGTTACTATGTCTTTCATCATTTATTTAGACTTTATAGTTCTTAACTATTTTTTAATTAAACAGCATTTGCTGTTAAAAAAATTGATACTAGTGAAAAAATGTAAGCAAAATAATTAAAGTCTACTGCATGCAATAATCTTGAAAAAATACTTGTCTATTCTATTTACAAGAATAATCAGAACTTAAGTAGAGACTACCTTTACTCAAGAAATTCAAATCTTTAGTCAAATATTATAATATTATATTATCATCTTTTGTGAGCTTTTTTTCTAGTCTTATATTAATTCTAATAAAAAATAAAAATAAAATATTAGCTAAAAAATAAAAGCAACAAGGCTTACCATTATTACAATTGAATAAAAATAAAATCAAATTGCATTTACTTTTTTCTCTTCAGTAATACATACTGTTATATTCTTTAAATAAAAAGTATAGTTTACTTATATACTTTTTTCTCTTTACTAATAATTACAGATGTTAGAATTTTTGTATAAAATTCTTTATATAATTCATGTGATGGTCTATATTAGAGCCTATAAAGCAAGTATTTAAAAAAAATTAATGTTAGCTACAGATCTCTATTTAAGACTTCTTGATATAAACACAAATTCAAACATTTTAAATCTTGCAGTTATTGACAATATTAATATAAAAGCCAAGACTTTTCAATATAGTAATATTTATAATGTAGTTCTAATACTATATATACAATTCTAAAATGGTCTTTCAATTCGAATATCTGAAACTTTTCAATTTAGAACAATTCAGAATTTAAAATCTTTTTGAAATAAGCCTTATAATAAAAACATAAAATGTAAAAATAGATACAATTTTTAATCAATTAATTAAAAAAGAAAAACAATCAGTATTAAGGATATTAATGCAATACTTAGAAAAAATATTAAATTGGTATCATTTTTAAAACCTTCAAATATTATAATTCTTAAAGCAAAAGATGCTCTAAGCTCAAATGAAAACATTTATTAAGCTGTCAATATATATTTAGAGGACTTCAGTTATACTGAAAATAGAGAGTTAAATTTAATATATGATAAGATGATCTATCATTATATGAAGAATTATGAGAATGAAGAACAAAAGATGAATTATATTCTAAGACAATGACATATAAATAAAACAATATGCAGTGCATTAATCTTCAGCTTTTTAGGATATAATCTTTTTGAACTTGTTACACAACTTGAAGTTAAATTTCTTAATAAACTTCAGTAAAATGTTAACTATCAGTTGATATTTAGAGTACTAGAGCTTATTTGAATGGCAGTTGGAGTTGTAATTCATCGATATGCATTGAAATAAAATATTAGTGTTAAAAAAATTCTTACAAAAAACAATAATTTATTAAAAGTTTGATATAACTTTTATTAATAAACTGAATATCTAAAATTGTATAAACTTAAAATTCATATAGTGAATTTTGACTTGCAAATATATAATTTAATAGCATTTGCTTCTTTATTTCTAGTAACAAAAAAAACAAGATATTGAATCAGTAGCATAATTTTTATTAGATCTTTAATGAAACCACAACTTCTTTAGAATTTTTAAATAATATTTTTAATAAACATAATTTAGAAAAAATATTATCTTAGTTATGATAAGACTTTAAAAGCAATTAATATAAAATTTATTAAACAGTATATAGTTGAACATAAAATTAATTCAGAAATTCTAAAATATAATACTAAAGCAACATAAACAGAAAATAATTTACTTAATGTTTTAATTTCAGAGGTTACCAAAGATCAGTCAATAAGCAAAAGTTTATGAACTGTTAAAGATTGACAAGATGTTCTTTGAAAATTAATTAATAAACTTGAAGTAGGATAAAGCAACTCACAATCAGAATTGCATGATTTGTTTACTAAAACAACACAATTGACAAATGCTAACTATTATTAAATATTTTACTATTATCAATCAGGAATTAAAAAAATAAATACAATTGTTATACAAGGTTTTTATTACATGACTGCCTAAATGAAAGTAGGTGATAAACTAGATCTAATATCTATAAAAATAACAAATAAAAAAAAATATATAAAAAAACTTCACCAAACAGATACAATGAATATAAAAATAAGTAGTAATTCTATGTATACTTTAGAAGTAATCAATATGAAGGTTGAAGAAATAAATTAAGACCTATAATTAGTACCATTATTTGAAACTACATCATCTTTTGAATTCAAATCTTGAAAGCCATATATAATATGTCAACCTAATTCTAAAAAAAAAAAAATCTTAAAAAAGCTTGAAATTATAGTGACTCTATTGTGTTGTCTAGAAAATTTGATGATAAGCTAGTAGAAAAGCTATCTTTATATAAATATTAATCAGTAAAATAAATTTGGGATCAGTAATATATCTGATATAAGAGATCAAAAAAATAAATTATTATTTTTTTTTAATGTTAAGATGAGTATATGTGATCCAGAATTTTATTGGTAATATCAGTTAACTAGCATCTGTTGATATAACAGTATAGAGGTGATCATAGAAAGAGTATACAACTAGTTACTTATACAATTTTAGTCATTATTTAATTTAAGTAGTCTGCTTGAAAGTTCTATACTAGTTGCTATATCTAGAACTCAACTGTAGAAACTTTATTTAAACATTCTGATTCTGTATCCACTACAGTCTACCAATAATTCTAGTAAACTGATGAAGATATGGCATGGTTACTAAATCATGTTTAACTTTGTACTAAATTTATCAGTATGTTCTGTATCCTATACTTACAGCTCACTTAGTTATGTTTTGGTCTAAACTATTCCTTGCAGTCAAGACTAACTATTAAATTGCTTTTATTCTTGTAAGGTTCATCTAAAACCCCAATATCCATCTTTCTAATATCTTTTTTATTATCTCTTATTAACCACTACTTAGAACTGACAAGACTCTCTAGACTTCCAATTCAGATGGCTTGATATAGTATATCTTAGTATTCTTTTCTTCTATCAATTCTGATAACCTAGTTAGTCATATGCTCCTCTATACATCTTGTTATTCATTTTATCTGTCTATCCCTTTAGAGATATTTTATGAGCTTCCATCAGTCTGATAGCATTATTAAAAGTTTTTGTTATCTTCTTAGTTAGGATTTCCAAATGAGTTTCTGATTCTTCAGTTTTTTTACTTTACATATCTGGTAGTCTTATTGTAAGTTTGTACTGAAGTCTTATACAACTCCAGTTATATATTCCTCTATGTAGATGTAATATTACATTTTATATAGATGTCCTAAGCTTCTATTCAAGATGATATAACTGAAGGTTACAGATACACTAATTCAACCAATCGACAAAGACAGTTACTATAACACAGATCTATTTTCCAAAATTCATTATTTATAAGATTTGAATTTTAGATCTGTCATTTGGAGGTTGACAATCTGATCACTTCACTAGATCATCACAGTTTCCAAAAAAATAAATTATAAATTATATTGTATATCAAAAATAATAATAATAATAAAAGAAAAGTGTAACAATATAATGAAATGATCAAGTTGTCAACTTTTCAAATAATAGGTTGGGTGTTCAAATCCTATCAATATTAAAAAATTTGAATAATTATCTATATAATATTTGTATTATGGCAACTGTTATTAGAGACAATCATGAAAAGAATGTACAACTAATCATTCATAATGATTAGATTAAAATACCTGTAATGATAATCACACTAGCATAACTGACAAGTCATGGGATATTTGTACAATATTAGAGTTATATAAAAGAATACAAACTAACAAATTAAGCAGTACAAATACTAAATAAGTTCTTATAATCATGTAAATTTATTAAATTAAGTAATATGAAGTCTATTTGAGAAGATCTGAATAAAGAAATAGCTGGATCTTTGACAATCTTATTGTAAAGGCTAACTTGATGAAATAGATATCAAGATCTAGTACCTGATTATAATAACCAGACAGACAAAAATCTTCAGATTGAGAGTTGCAAAGATACTATAAACTAAGTCACCAAAATGAACTAAAGGAAAAAGATATCAGACTGATCTGATATATTGATAGATTAATTGTAATCCTACATGAACTATCTGGATTGAGAGTTTAGTAAAAAGACAAAAATATACTAAAATATTAGGGTTATATTATAAAATAGATGTTAAAGTCTAAATAAAGTTTATAAGAACATAACAATTTAATGATTAAATCCTGATTACAAGTATTAGTTCTGACATAATGATACTTAAATCAATTATAAAAATGAATACAGAAGGTGTTAAAAGATTTATCTCAAAAATAAATTAATCCTAAGATTGAGATAATAATTTGAACATCTGGGTATAACCTAATGAGTTAATACAGATTACAGGTTCAAAAGGTTTAAAATGAAACATCCAAGCAAGGGTATTAGATATGACAATTGGTGAGAAACCTTCAGATGAACTTCTTAAATAAGTAATATAGAAAAGTTAAACATATAACCAATTGTATACTTTCCTGTAGTGGTTCATTGAACCACAATACTAATAAATGATTAATAAAAATCAAAAGACTAAAGAGATCACCTTAAAAAAAAAAAAAAAAAAAAAAAAAAAAAAAAAAAAAAAAAAAAAAAAAAAAAAAAAAAAAAAAAAAAAAAAAAAAACAATAATGAAAGAATAAAAATAAAATAATTATTCAAATGTAATTTTATATTATAAACTTGCAATATTGTTTTTGCTAAAAGAAAAAAAAAAAAGAAAATTTAATTAGCAAAAATCACAATCTACATACTATAAAATAGTTTTTCTTAATTTTCTTGACATTTTGATAACATACCAACCTTTCAAAGATGCATTTCGTAGAAAGTTCTCACTCGTGCACATCTAACAAGCTGTTTTTAATGCTAAGATCTTGCAAACTCGAAAATAATCATGCGAAAGAATGCAAAATAATTGCCCATCTTTGAAGGGGTCGTATATTACCGGATAACATTAGTTTTTTATGTTCTTTATACTGTTCGATTCGTTAAAGCTCTGGTAGCTTTTGTTTTAAGAATCGTTAGTCGTTATAACTAAGACTTTGGGTGAAATTTTAGAAAACGTGATGTCGTCGATTTGTGTAATTTATGAAAATCATATGTGACATCTCGGTCGACTGATATGAGTAATTTTTTACAACGTTTTGAATTGGTGCAACCTAAAATTTCTGACTAAACTTATAAGTCTAGCTAGACCCAATCACCAATAAAATCGCGTTATTTTTCGAAAAGAAGTAAATAACTTACGGACATCAAATAATTTTTTTTTTTACGCGAATTGTCAATCATCCGTTCAATCCATTCAATCCTTACGGATTGTCGATCATCCATACGGATTCACGTGCGATGCGGATTGCAAATCAATTCGTATTATCCGAATTTGAACGGATCACACCACTACTTTTAGTAATCAAAATTAGTTAATTCCGACCATGCTGAGGTATTCCGACCCAGAAGTTTGGTAACCCCTGAGTTTACTGGGGTAGCTATCGCTATGGTGTACATACCAGATCTAATCTCTAAAATAAACTTATACAGAACAAGGGCCTTTGTTTATCTTTGAAAATCCCACTTCTGCCGACGACGAGAACATAAGTTTATTAAAAAATGTGGTACTGGAACCTGAAGCGACAACTGTTTCAAGGGTTCCTAATACTACGTCCTCGTCTGCATCCATGTGTGGCGTAGTTGCTCCTACTAATAAAGCTATTTATAAAATCTGTAAAAAAGCTCCAAAAAGACCTCCGAGACCTCCGAATGCTTTCATCCTTTATAGACGAGAGAAGCAATCAGAAATTATGGCTAAATTTCCGGGCTATATTAATAATGAAGTATCCAAAGAAAGTGGTAGAATGTGGAGTGAAGAGCCTCAAGAAGCTCGTTTTAGATTTCAACAAATGGCTGATGCAGCCAAACAGGAACATATGAAAAAATATCCTGATTATAAGTATCGTCCACGAAAACCAAGACGCAGAAGTCAGAAGCCGAAAGATTCATCGTCAAATCGGGTTTCAACAAAACCGAAAGATTCATCGTCAAATTGGGTTTCAACAAATTACTCACTTAATGATTCGCCACAGTTGTCCGAAGATTTGAACCTTGAGGTGGTGAACTTTGTTGATACCAGTGCAGTTGATCCCACCTCTATCGATTTCAACTATCAACCGATTTTTGTGGATTGTCCGCTAATAAGCTCACCCCTTAGTTATTGGAATTTAAATTATTATCCCGATTCATTAAATTATCCTGATTCAAATTCAAATTATTTTTTTTTCACATCGTCTTATGATGATAGTATGGTTGATTTTAATCTATTTCAAGATAAAAATTCACAGTGATTATACAAAAAAAAAAAAAAAAAAAAAACAAAGTAACAAAACCATTCTTATTATAATTTATGCTAATAGTCATATATATTATCATAGTCAAACAATTTTATAAAAAAAAATATTTATCATCTACAATTTGATTAAAAATTTGAACTTTATATTTTATACGTACGTATCAATCACAAATTGACTAAGTTGGGGGCCGGTTAAAGCAGTTAATTTTACATACTACATAAATTGTATTTTTGATACTGTATAACCTACTCACTCTAACCGCATCAAAAAGGTAGCCCTAAAACTCCGCCGCCTAAATTGATTACGATTTTCCATATGATTATCGAACCATGCATTGAACCATCCTATAACATACGTAATAACGCTACGATATTTTCTAGGATCTTCTTTTTTCTCTACAGCACCTCGATAGAAATGTGATTGATTTTACTATCGCGTGACATTCGGTCCATTGAACAAAATTGTATGAGAGAAATTTTTGTTAAGACTCTAAGGTGGTTTACTACGTAGACTACGTAAGTAATAATTACAACCCTAATTACAACCAATACCCAAAGCCGTAATTGTTTATAAATGTAATGAGATACATACAGCTAAGTAATTATGTCAACCCAAGCAGGATTTATAATACACTACGTAGCATTCTTGCATGTCCTTACTAAGGTTGGGGGCACAGGGGCATGGGCATTCCCCATAGGGCATGCCCTTAGGACATGCCTATGCATGCATGCCGAAAAAATCACATGACATAGATGGCCAAACTCATTGGCTAAAAATTAATATATACTATTCTACAATATCGATATTTATATGTATAGTATATAGTATATAATAATTTTATACGTACTGGGTGTTTGATAAGTCCTTTTTTTTAATCACTAAATAAATTACTGTACTACAAAAAAATGTGATAAAACTAATACTAGTGGAGATATAAAAAAGGTCCTGTTGTTACGACAAAGGAGAGCTTCTATATCTTCCAACCAGATTTAACTCAGTGCCGCAAGCATTAAATACAAAACCCGTAATTTATTTCAATACACAAAGACAAGAAAAACACTCTTCTTCCTCTAGTACAAGAAAGAATCCCTTCTTTTATACCAACTATTATACTCTAACTAATTATATATTATGTTATTATAAAATGATCGTTAAAGTATAGATTCGATAATTATCTAAATATAAGCTTAAAAGTTACTGTACATAAGAAAAAGTTTAATGTTAAAATTACATAATTTTCGTAACACTATCCAGAAACTTATTAAACATCTGATATATTGAAATAATTTAAGTATACAAAAGAAGAAAATCTTTTTTTTTTGTATTAAAGTTCCTGCCTTGGCGGAGTGATTTTTATTCAAGTTTTTGTCAGACACGGGTGTCTTTAAAGATCTCTTTACATTGGAAGTTACAACTATAGATGCTGGTGAAATTGGTGAAACTGGTGGCTATCTAAAATCTGATTGGATGTTAAAAAAAATTTTACCAATTTCACCAGTTTCACCACCATTTACCAAGAATTTTACCAGTTTCATTAGCATCTATAGTTACAACTAACCATACATGCATTTTTGGTGCCTAATTTAAATAATCTATTTAATATATTACTATATAGGTTCTATATTAGATGTCATACCTGCAAGTCAACTATGAATCTTGTCTATTTAAATCTTCTGTATATGCAATTTCAACTTGTATCATGATGACATCTTTAAAGTTACATTTATTCAAAATATTTAATATATTCAATTTTTTTAGAACTATTTTATTCTTAATAAAAAACTTATTAAAATTTTTTATATTCTATACATAGCTGATCTAATTTATATAACATATTATAGTCAGATTAATACTTACAATTACAGGTATTTCTGTTAAATCATTATGTTATATTATTTTTATCTTTGTAAAGTTCATTAGAATTTTAGTATCTATCTTTTCAATATTTTTTTTATTGTTTTTTACTAACTACTACTTAGAATCAATATTATTTTTTCAAATTTTCAATTTAGATAATCTAGATATAGTATATAATGTTTCTATAAACCTAAAATAAACTAAATATTGATTAAGTTTAGGTTCAGTATTGAATTTTTATTCAAGTTTAGATTTAGTTTAAGTTTATAAATTTTAAATTCAATTTAAATTCAGATTCAATGATCTGTAAAATTTAAAGTTCAGTTCAGATTTAGGTTCAATAATCTGCAAATTTTAAAGTTTAGTTTAGATTTAATAAACTTAATTTATAACTTAAACTAAACTAAACTAAACTTAGAAACACATTTTAGATTTTTTTATCAAAAATCTAAAATTAAACATCTTTTTTTTATAATTAAAAATTATAAAATAAATATATACTAATATAATGTATTTTTATATCTAAAACAAATTATTTGGAAAATAAAAATAGAATTAATTAGTAAAATTTTGAGAATAATAATATTTTTTGTAATTGTTATAATTCTCAAAATTTTATTGATTAATTTAATTTTTATTCTCTAAATAACTTTTGTTTTAAATATAAAAATATATTATATTAACATATATTTATTTTATATTTTTTAAATTTAAAGAAAAAATACTTAATTTTGAATTTTTTTATCAAAAATTCAAAATTAAATAAATATTTTTTTCTTAGAACTAAAAATTATAAAATAAATATATATTAATAAAATGTATTTTTATATTTAAAACAAAGTTATTTAGAGAATAAAGATAAAATAAATTAATAAAATTTTGAGAATTATAATAATTTTATAATTTTATTAATAAAATTATAAAAAAGATTATTATAATTTATTGCAATAGTAATATATCATTACTTCTGATCAACTAATTAGAATGCAAGATCAGATGAAGTAAAATTAAAGCAAAACATTATTTCTTTTGAATAATCATCTGTAACTTAAGATTTTGCATATGAAACTATCTCTTATATTTCAATTAAAAAAATTTCTTATAAAATTTTAGATTAAAAACTTTATTTTCTAAAGTCATATATAACTTTAGTCTAATACTAATTTTAATCTTAAACCAATATATTTTATTTAAATATTATATATGATCTTATAAGTAGTAATACATCACATAAGCAAAAAATTATAAAATCTTATAAAAAAATATTATTATTCTCAAAATTTTACTAATTAATTTTATCTTTATTTTCTAAATAAATTTGTTTTATATATAAAAAATATATATATAATATTAAATCTGAATATGTTTATAAACTTTGAACTAAACCTGAACTAAATTAAATTTTAAGTTCAGATTTAGTTCAGGTTTATAAATTTTAAGTTCAGTTTAGGTTTATATTCAATAATTTGCAAAATTTGAAGTTTAGTTTAGATTTAATGAACTTGGTTCATGAATCTAAACTGAACTGAATTTAGAAACACTAATAGTATATCTTAATGTTTATTTTTTTCAGTAAATTTAACAACTTAGTTGATTATATATTTCTCTATATATTTTGACATTTAGTTTATCTTTTTGTTTTTTTAGAAATGTTTTATAAATTTTTATCAATCTAATAATATTGTCAAAATTTCATACTATTTCTTTATTCAAAAATTTTCAAATAAGTTTCTGACTTCTTGGTTTTTTATTTTTTATATTCAGTAGTTTTGTTATATATTTATACTGAAGTTTTATATAATAATAGTTATTAATATTTCTTTATATGTATATAATATTATATTTTGCATAAATAATCTGAACTTCTATTTGAGATAATGCAATTGAAGGTTACAGATATACCAATCCAATTAATAATTAAGAGACAGTTTGTTATAATACAAATATAATTTTAAAATTTCATTATAAATAAGATTTAAATACTAAACCTACTATTTAAAGAATGACAATTTGCCTACTATATTAGAATTATTATTCTCTTAAACTAACTTTATATAAATATATATATAAAAATCTTAATAAAAATAATTAACAAAGTTGTCTAAATTAAAAAAAAATTTAATTTAGCTTTTTTTATTATTATTAAAAACTATAATTTATAACAATTAAAAAAAACTCTTTCTATCAATCATTTGGATACAAAAAACAACTAAAAAAAAGAAGATTTTAGTAAAGTTGGCAATAGAAAACATCTCAAGTAACTCTAAGTAAAAAGAAGTAGCAATATAAAAAGCAATAGACTAGTGAAGAAAAAAATTTGCTGCAAAACTAATAGATTAGCTACTAAAAAAAAGTAAAAAACTCATTAGAACATAACAATAGTAGAAAATTGCCATTAGACCTTGTATTGTAGATCTGTTTACATTATACAAAAGACATATAGCAGTAAAACAACAACAGATATGTGCAGGCCATCAAATTAGTATAGACATCACAAATTGTATAACAATATACATAAAATTCTATATATAAATAAGCAAAATAACAAAAAAAATTTAGAAACCAATTAGAAGTATATAGATATAAATAGAACATAGAATTAGTAAAACATGAAAAAAGTCTATTAATAATTTTTATAAAAAGAGCATACTAGGCAATAAACAGAATACATAATAAGATATTTTTTAATTAGTCAAATAGAACATATATAATACTAAACAGAGAAGATAAGATTGTTGCTATGCTTATTAAGCAAAGCTCAAAGGAAATTGTATTTTTAAGAAAAACTAAAGAATTAATCAAAAGAGCAGAAAGAAAACAATTAAAAAAGAAATTAAACTTTACAAAAGCAGACAAGAATATAATAATAATTGAACTTGAAAGAATTCATAAATAAGAAAATAGAAAAGCAGTACAATAAGAAATAACTGAAAAAAAAGAAAAGCAAGAAAATAGACATAAGATGGGAAAAAAAAAATTGAAAAAAAATAAAAGAAAATAATATAAACAAAAGAAAACTATAATAAAAAGACTTTACTATAAAGAAAAAAGCAAAAATGAAAATAAGTAATAAAAGTATAGACTAGACAGAAGAAGAATTACTTGTACAAGAAAAAAAATTAAGAAAAAAACAAATA